GGCCGGGCCCCGCGGTGGCCGCGGCGGCGGCGGGCGGCAGCCTGGTGCCCGCGGCGCGCCAGCAGCACTGCACACAGGTGCGCAGCCGGCGGCTCATGAAGGAGCTCCAGGACATCGCTCGCCTCAGCGACCGCTTCATCTCCGTGGAGCTGGTCAACGAGAGCCTCTTCGACTGGAACGTGAAGCTGCACCAGGTGGACAAGGACTCGGTGCTGTGGCAGGACATGAAGGAGACCAACACGGAGTTCATCCTGCTCAACCTCACCTTCCCGGATAACTTCCCCTTCTCTCCGCCCTTCATGCGGGTGCTCAGCCCGCGGCTGGAGAATGGCTACGTTCTGGACGGAGGCGCCATCTGCATGGAGCTGCTCACGCCGCGCGGCTGGTCCAGCGCCTACACGGTGGAGGCCGTCATGCGCCAGTTCGCTGCCAGCCTGGTCAAGGGCCAGGTAAGGCAGCGGGACCAGGAGCCAGGGTGGGGGCGGGGGAGGGGAAGCGGCTGGCCGGGGTTGGGGGGCGGGGGGTTCAAGGCTAGGCCTGAGATGGGAAGCGATGTCTGATCTCTCTAGGGACAAGTGAGAGCTGGTCCAGCTCATCCTGAGCAGGCCTGCTGGAGAGGCTTCATCCCACACCCTCCGCTTCTTCTCCCTAAAGGATTTCTTCCTCTGTGTCGGCATCCCAGTCCCCTGGGCTTCGGTCCTACTAGAACCACCTTCACTCCCTCTGTCTCTTTCCTCTCTAATGGTCCTTCTTCCCTCCCCGCCCCTCTCCCACCACGCCCTTTCCACTTTTCCACCTTTCTGAGTCTCCCATATTCTCCTGCCCTACCCCATCTCTCCTCCTCTCCGCTGTCTGTTTAGGTGGTCTCTGGTCTGTGTAATTACCATGAAGGTGCAAACTTTTCCTGAAGCCCAGTGTCAAAGTGTCCAGCCCAGCACATCACACACGCGCACGCGCGCGCGCACACACACACAGAGAGAGAGAGAGAGAGAGAGAGAGAGAGAGAGAGAGAGAGAATGCTTTCTTCTTCAAATCTCTCAGGTGGGCTCTGTTCAAACCAGGCTAGCTGCCTGCTGCTGCCTGTTCCCTCTTTCGGGCAGCCACCCTTATAAAGGTGAAAGTTCTCCCAGAAGGCTCTATCCAGGAAGAAGAATGGGTTGAGTCCTTCCTAGCTGTTAGGTCAGGCCAGACTCCATCCAGGGAAAGCTGTTCTGGCCAGCCCACCTCTCCGCCTGGTACTTGCCCCTTCAAGGAACATCTCTGGGATAGATGCTGGACCTGAGTCTCTTTCGGACCTTGCTTTCCATTGGGGGAGGGATGATTTTCAAAGGTAAAGATACAACCAAGCACAGAAAGTAATGCTAAGCAGGTCACCAGAACCTTCTAGCCTATTGCACCACAAGGCTGCTTTACAGAGAAACATCCCAAAACTTACCGTGAATAAATGGATTTTCTGAGACATGCCTCCCACCCAGCTACAAGGGAGAGCAAGGTGGTTTTATTTTCCCATGCTATATGTTCTTGGCCAAATCTCTGGTGGGCATTTCGTAAGTTGATCCTAACATCGTTTTTATCAAACCCCATTTCTATCTGTCATGGGCATCTTGAATATTTACAAAGAGTTTGAGTTTTCTTTAAAAGACTCCCCAGTGACCTCCACGTGCTCTTTCGCTAGCCAGCTTATCAGAATCAATCATTTCTTCCCCTAAGCCAGCCTCTGTCCTGCCCCTTTCACTGCAGGGCACACCACACTAATCAAACACAGCTCATTCTGCCCCTTTCTTTCAAGGCTGCACTCTGAATTAAAGAAAGAAAGAAAGAAAGAAAGATAGAAAGAAAGAAAGAAAGAAAGGAAGGAAGGAAGGAAGGAAGGAAGGAAGGAAGGAAGGAAGGAAGGAAGGAAGAAAACAAAAGAAAAGAAAAGCATCCCAACTCCAGCACAAAGGTCACTGCATCCTGAGACTCCCAAAAGGAGTAGACTGGGCTTGAGGGCTCTAGAGCAGGTGCTACAGCACTGTAGGCTGATGCTTTGACAGCCGGCTTCCTCCGTCCTACAGTGAAGCACTGGCTGGAAAACAATGCATGTGATGAGTGCCTGCTGCTGAGACAGGGGGGCTGCGTTTATTTTCCATTGGGGCTTATGTGAATGCAATGAGGGATGGTCCTCTGAAATGCCATGGTCATTTACTTCTCCATCAGTTCTTCAAAGGGAAAAGGATTTGAAGGTTTGGGGAAGAGAAATGTAATTTTTGTCCCATAGAATCATTTTGTCCCATAGTCTGTAGCATTGTGGACTGGAGATAATTTAGCCTTCAGCCTGCATTCGGGGAAACAAGGATTTTGAATGAGGAAGTGGGATTTGTGAAGAGAAATGTCTTGATAAATAGTCTTGATAAATGTCTTGATAAATGCTGTGAATACCAACAGCTCCCTTCATGTCATTCTACCTCCAGGTCTGGGTGTATAAGTTCTCTTTCTCTGTACCCAAACTGAGATGGGAGGGTTTCTCACTGAAAACAAAGTTAACAGCATTTTCTTCATTAATTGATAAACAAGTAGGCCCTGTTCCTTCCACCTGCCAGGTTGCATTGCATTGTCTGATGAGATGTGGTGCTTTTTAAATGATGGTCAAAACACAGCACATTTTAAAACAGGAATTGACTTTCTCTGTATTTCCCATCGGCTGGTTTCAACATGCAGTTCTCCACATGAAATATTCAAGTGCAATGAAAGAATTGAAGAGATGAATAGTCATTAAAATTTTAGGGACCTGGTATGACAGAATGGCACACCCCTGGTAACCTGAGGACTGCGATGCCCTTTGTCCCTTTGTTGATCCATGGCCCAAGGGCTGCTCACTGCACATGTGGTAGTTACCAAATTATTTTCATAGTTACAAGTAATGTACTTTGGTCCAGTCCAAATACTAATTAGCCATTCAAAGGAAGCAGGGCTGCTGCTCAATTTGTAATTACTTTAAAGGGCTTCTGTACTCTAGTGACCATCCTCTGTTTGCATTTCTTTGTAGGGTTCCTCTTCTTAAGATGTAGTTTAAAAAGCTTGTTTGTCCCATTCATATAGGAAAGCACTCACTTAGCTTCCTGAATTGAGAAAACACCCTACCAGTGTCTTCAGAAAAATCTCAAGATGACTTTAAGAGTTTAACTTGTAACATCACACAGAGGTCTAATAATGAGGTCTGCAAAGCCAAAAGCTCAGGCTTGTCCTCTGTGTGAAGAATTGAGGGATTTCATGAAGCTTTTACTAGGCTGAATGTGTGCCCTCAGGTAACTAAGGCGGCTTTCATGATGCATTGTGGATTATTCTAAATGAAATGAATACATTTGTCTCATAAGGCTATACTCTATGTATAAAGAGACCTAAGCCTCCTACCTGTTTATGACTAAATCAAAGGATGCTGAATAGAGACTTTTTTCATGCTGACATGGAACTCAAGGCGGTGCTCTCGCCTCAGCCTCCTGAGTGCTGGGGTTACAGGTATGACCCTTCACACTCAGAAAAAGAGGTTTTAGGTAACGTTTAGTTGTCTACAATTGGACGAGCCATTTCTGGGCCTTTGAAATAAGCCAGCTCTGAGAGTAGCATTTGCCTCCTCTATCATGCAAACAGCCTTAAGAACACAATCCGGAGCTCCAGGATGACGGTGTGGGCATTGAAATGCTTTCAGAGTTTTGTCTTGGAACTGAAGGACCCTGCAGTGGCAGCACAGAGCTTGTATCACAAACAGTGAAACTCCACATTCTGAGAACAAGGCCTGTAAGCTTAGGCCACTGGCTCCTAGAGTGGAGAGGAGAGCCTGGCTGCAGATGCCTCCAGGCTCACCAGCATCTCCAAGCCGGGTGTATTCCATGGCTGCAGGAATGGCAGACCGCCCTCCCACTGCTGCAGATAAAAGGCACTTGATTGTGCCCTGACTCAGGGCTCTCCTCAGACACTTGCACACCTCCTGGGTGTCCCCATTTAATTAATTAGCTATGATCGTCATCAGACAACCAGATGGCCCCTGAATGACAGTTTCTCTCCCTTCCCCTGTTCCCTCAGAACTGCATGTCCACACTACTAACAGGAGAGACAGCAACAGCTCACATTTTTCTGTCTTCAGTGCTGCAGTCTGGTCTAGCTGAGCACACACACACACACACACACACGCACGCACACACACACACACACACACACATACAAGCATGCACACACAAAATGCCAAGCCTTCCTGCAATGGATTCATTCTATGACCACCATACAGATGCTTCCTGAGAGGCCAGACTCATGGGTCAAAGGCGTGAGAAAGGGTGAGGCGTGAGAAAGGGTGAGTCTCACATGACCACCTGAGTACCCTGCTGCTTCCAGGTGGACATCCGTTGGCACCTCCATGATCATCACTGTCACCACAGAAGCAGCAGGAGCCAGCCTTCCTGCACAAGGTTCACAGGCCCTCAGGACCAAACCAGCCTTGAGTCCTCAGATACCAGTTGGTCAGCAACTGCAAGAGGGCCACATTTCTAAGATTTTTATTGATGAGGGAACCTGACAGGAGTCACCACTTGTCTGAGTGTGATGCCAAAGTGAGGGCTGTGCAGCCCAGCTGGGTCCAGTAAGGTTGCAGAGCCCAGGAGCCACATTAGAGCTTGCAGTCTGCAGCCAGGCCTATGCAGCCTTCTTAAAAATGTATATTTCAGGGCTAGAAAGATGGCTCAGTGGTTAAGAGCACTGTCTGCTCTTCCAAAGGTCATGAGTTCAAATCCCAGCAACCACATGGTGGCTCACAACCATCTATAATGTGAACTGATTCCTTCTTCTGGCAGCTGTAAGTGCAGATAGAATACTCATATACATAAAATAAATAAATCTTAAAAAATAAATGTATATTTCAGTGTTTTATTAATTCTTTGAGAATTTTGTACATGCTTGCACTGTATTTTGATCACATTACCTTTTACTTCTCTCCCTAAGTCCCCACACCCCTGTCTCTCCCAACTTCATGTCTAATAACCTACTGCCCAGTTTGTGGTGTGTGTGTGCTCAGGGGTGTGAGCTCATCAACTGACACCGGGATGACTTACCGGAGACCAAACCTTAAGGAAAATTGACTCTCCTTGAAGAAGCTACAAGCTGCCTGTAGCTTCTCAGCTAGGTGTGGGAGCTCAGGACTCCCCCAGCCCATTTGCTGGAATGTTTACTGGCTTGATCTGGTATGGGTATTGCAAAGACAACCATAGCTGCTGTGAGTTATAAGTGCAGAAGTCCTATTGTGTCCAAAAGACATGAATTTGATCCTGTCCTACCTGACCTCTGGTTCTTACACACACACACACACACACACACACACACACACACACACACACACACGGGAACATACACATACTCCTTCTGTGATGGTCCCTGAGCATTTGGGAGAAGGAGGGGCATACAGGTGCCCCATTTATAGTTG